CATCGAACCCCGAACACTCTAGCGACGCACAGAAATGTTTTTGGGAGAATGAGTCGCGGCTTATTCATATATAAATAGAATCACCCATTAATATGTAAATATCACAGTTGACACTATTTTCAGTGGGGAGGCCCGTAGCCCCTATCTCAATTTTGGTTGCCCCTGTCTGCCTGACATCTTGTGTCCGGTTTTCAGCTGCCATGAAACCCGGACACAGCATTCAAAACCCGAACTGTCCGGGTGAATCCTGGACAGGTGGCAACCCTAGTCTGTGAAGGTTCTCGTTCATCCAGGTCATGGTTTAACTTGTAGTGTTTGGTCACATTTATCTAGACCTGTTCTGTAATGCTGAAGACATTCCTGTGCTTATCCAAGCCACTTCTTCAGTTCTAATGACTGTCAGGAACCTAGACCAACATTTATATCCACACACGTAAGACCGTCACCTTAATCCAATCTCCGTTGAACGGATGTCAAGGCAGACATTGATTGTCCATGAACAGGATGGGAGGTGTGAAAGTTGTGGACCCACACAGTTATATAATCCTATCCCTTGGTGTCCTGGATCTGCATAGGTGGTAACCCTTGTATTCACAAGCCTGAAGGTGTGAACTGTTTTTAAATCACTTGGGTATAGATGTTAAAACTGCAATATATGTGGAAGACAACTGGTGCCGAGGGCTCTTACCTCCCAAGCATTGGTGGAACTGTGTCTTAACACCATCTATTTGAAGTAAAAGGGCAGGAACTCAGGTTGTACTATGGGCAGGGCCTCCCCCAATGGAGAATGGCAGACCTGCAGGCTGCATACAAGTAATCTCAGCGACATCACCGAGATCAATTGTACAAAACGAGCGGCGGCTTCCCGGCTCTACATTTAGTCCTGCTTGCCCAAAGCAGGGCAAAATGTTGAAAACAACCACCCGCCCAGGCACCCAGAACTGCATGTCATGGGAGATGGGAATTCCACACCCCTGCTGCCCCTCTACTCCCTGCTCCCCCGTTGCCGGGCCTTGGTTGGCCTTGTGAGAAATCCGGCCCTGACTATGGGATCACCAGTGTCTCCCTCTGTAGCTAACCTGTACAGTACATGGAGAAGGTGAAGAAATACTTGAGCTCTTTCATAGGAATAAGACCAAGTCATGGGTTCTGGTATGAGGATGATACAAGACAAGAACATCAGAAATACAAGCTGTTAGTGAACACATAAACTCAGTGGACAAAACCATCAAGTTTACACCGGAAATGGCACAGAATAACAAATGAGCCTTTTCTGGATGAGTGTTACATGTCAAGGGGAGGGTGGCAATGTGACAACTAATATTTTGCAAGAAAATGACAAACAATTGCAGCCTCAGTGTTTAAAAACTTCTCCTTTTTGAGCTGCATTTGCAAGGTCTGTAAGGATTCTTCGATACATATTGAGGTGACAGTTGATTAAAGTGATATTAAAGCCAAAATGTTTTTAACCTTTTTCAAATGCTGATGAAATCTCTTACAATGGATGCCGCACCTTGATGTTTTCAAAATGTATTTCCTGCAGAATCAGCTGGTCCCCTGAGCACTGGCCCTGATATCCTGTTTAAGGCCCCATTCACACTGAGCGATTCGCAAATCGCGCGTTTGTCGCGCAATTTGCATTTTGCACGATATCGCGCAAATGGTTGCATTGAGCAAACTAGAATCGCGGCAAAATCCGCTCCAAAAAGGGTCCTGCTGTAGCGACGCACAACCCGCGACAGCGACGGACAGAGCCATGCATTGGAGAGCGATATCGCACGGTAAATACCCGCGATCCTCGCGATAAATCGCTCAGTGTGAATGGGGCCTTAGGATGACTCCTTTCCCTTGTAGGTTCCTATGGAGTAGCAATAAAAAACACAAAAAGAGTCCCCAGCACACTTGCCGGCTAGCCGGCAACAAAACACATTACCCTGTCTAACAGTATGCGTTAAAAACAGAGGTTTTAGTTACACAAACCTTTGGCCAGAATTATGTAGAAGCCACACTGCCCCGTCAAGGCTCCTCTGTAAAGGGTGGTCCTAACTCTATGAGTCTCCATGTTGGAGCATATTAATGCAGTCGATAAATTAGATGCAGGTGTACCTGGAGGCAGCCTACTCCTCCTCAAAAAGTGCAGGGACGCACCAGAGGGCCCCAGCGTGCATTTTGGATTGCTGGGCCTCCGGTGCGTCCCTGCACTTTTTGAGGAGGGGTGGGCTGCTTCCGGGTACACCTGCATCTAATTTATCGACTGCATTAATATGCTCCAACATGGAGACTCAAAGAGTTAGGACCACACTCCACAGAGGAGCCTTGACGGGGCTGTGTGGCCTCTACATATTTTTGGCCAAAGGTTTGTGTAACTAAAACCTCTGTTTTTAGCGCATACTGTTAGACAGGGTAATGTGTTTTGTTGCCGGCTAGCCGGCAAGTGTGCTGGGGACTCTTTTTGTGTTTTGTATTGTTGTAAGCCTTCCCATGTGCGCCTTGCTAGCAAGGCTGGTTATAAATGTATGCGGTTACCTCCTATTTCTATGGAGCCGCCCTTGTGTGTGTTAGTAAGCTGCATGTGTCTTTACAAGCACACAGGTACAGCAAGGCAATCAACTCCTGTTTTTTCCTCTCCTCCCTCCTCCTTCTTCCATTCTCTAAGCTAGTAGATCAGGGCTCTCAAACCTCCGGCCCTCCAGCTGTGGTGGAACTACAAATCCCATGAGGCATTGCAAGATTCTCACAGCCACGGACATGACTCCCGAAGAGAGATGCATCATGGGATTTGCAGCTTCACCACAGCTGGAGGGCCAGAGGTTCGAGACCCCTGTAGTAGATGGACACCTGCTGAAGACTGCTCTTCCTTGTGATCTTGTACTGGAAGCTCAGTTGGAGGCAGCTGTTTGGAAACCTGATGAGTGCAAGTTTTTGGGCAAAAATGTAAGGAAACACTTTGCTTAGAAATGTATATTTGTTGGATCTCGATTCATAATTGAGAGTTTAATACTAATTTAACGTTATCCCCAGTCACAAGCCTACACGGTCCTGTCAGAAACATGAAATGCATATAAGGTAGTTCCTCTGCATTCTACTGGTCAATTACTTAACCAACACCAGAAAATTCCCCTTTTGGGCCCTCCTTTTATAATGGCCCGTCACATTTTCACTATCAGTATGAAAAGCAAACAAATATTATCCATCACTGATAGCAGCAACATTTCCATTTGTTTGCATTTTAGCATAAGAGGTAATACTAAAGGTGTTTGTTCCCTTATGGCCCAATGCCAGCTCTGGCATATGACTCCATCAATTGTTTGAGACCGAAATATAGCAGCATGTATTGCCTTATTTCCAGTGCGACACCATCCTAAACCTTTACTGTGTTGGCCAGTTCCACATCGACCATAGACAGTCAACAAAACCAAGCGATCTTCCCGATTTTAGAATTCCCTTGTTATCCTGCTGTTTTGGTAGTGTAGTGTTAGAGGGTTCATTGTCACTGTGCTCAGTGGACCCTCTGCTTTGCCATGGACAAGAGGAATGCCAAGTGCTAGAGTCCTGAGACTGTGGCCTCACTGTTAAGTGCACTATTGAGGGCAGGTGTGCATCGCGGAGACCTAACCTGCAGTGCTGATTAATGACCAACAGATGGCGCAGGTTCGGTGCTGTGATTGTGAGCTTCTGAGTCAGGCAGAGATATTCTTCATTGCTTGCTGCTTCTTGAAAAGTCTCCCTGTGAGAAGAGCTGACTTTCATGAAGAGCGAAGGATCTGAAGTATACAACCTCCGCTCGCTACATTGTAAATGCGGAAGATTTCAGTAAATTTTAAAGCTCATTCCGGCTAAAACCTTCCATGGTTTTCGAAGAGTTAAATACTCTATCAACCTTTTAATTGGTGCCTGTTTGACATTTGGAATGTTTCCCCTCACTTTATGTCTGCTGATGGGTGTCCTACAGAAATAAAGTAAAGGAACATCAAACTATTTCTGGTTATTTGAGAGGTGTCAGCCAAACCAGGAAGGGTGGGGAGATATCGCCATTTGCTGTTCACTTGAGGAGATCATACAGAAGAGGACAATAGGGGGATCTTCCAATTTCCTGGTCACTTGAGGAGATCATAGAGAAGAGGACAATAGGGGGATCTTCCAATTTCCTGGTCACTTGAGGGGTATCATACAGAGCAGGAAACTAGGGGAAACCTTCCGTGTTCCTTGTTACTCCCTATTTCCTGGTCACTTAAGGGGAATCACAGAACAGGAAATTAGGGGAAATCTCCCCAGTTCCTGGTTACTACCCATATTATGGTCACTAGAGGGGTACTCAGGAGAGATCTCTACAGTTCCTGGTTTCTCCCCATTTCCTGGTCACTTGAGGGGTATCATACAGAACAGTAAACTAGGGGTAACCTTCCCTGTTCCTGGTTACTCCCTATTTCCTGGTCTCTTGAGGGGAATCATACAGAACAAGGAAATTAGGGGAAAACTCACCATTTTCTGGTCACTTAAGAGGAATCATGCAATGTAGAAAATTAGGGGAAATCTCCCCAGTTCCTGGTTACTACCCATTTCCTGGTCACTTGAAGGGTATCATACAGAACAGGAAACCAGGGGAACTCTTCCCTGTTCCTGGTTACTCCCTATTTCCTGGTCACTTGAGGGGGAATCATACAGAACAGGAAACCAGGGGAACTCTTCCCTGTTCCTGGTTACTCCCTATTTCCTGGTCACTTGAGGGGGAATCATACAGAACAGGAAATTAGGGGAAAACTCCCCATTTTCTGGTCACTTATGAGGAATCATACAGAATAGGAAATTAGGAGAAAGTCTCTTCAGTTCCTGGTTGCTCGAGGGTTGTTATACAAAACAATTTCCATTTCACTTTCCTAATTTTGTTGAGAACGGTGGGAGTTATTTACAAACAAATCAGTCATCAGAAATTAAAACTGTCTTTGTTGCTCGAACGCTGTTTGCTCCCCCGATCGAAAGCGTATGATATCTTATTTTACCTTTTTACGTTCGGCTTTCTGTCTCTCTCGGAACTCCTCCATCTTCCTCGCCTCGTCTCGTAAGGACTGAGCCAGCTGAATGTGGCTCTGGCCAACAATATCAATTTCTGAGGAGAATACAAGAAGGGCAATTAGATGGACATGTGGGGCTCAGATTTTAGGTACAGTGATAACACATAACACATTATATCTAACTGACTGTCCATTCTAATGGATACTTTTAAAAAGGCTTGCCTAAGATCAGACACCATGGGATGCCCGCTATTTACTATATTACCCAGAAATGCCTCTGCTGTGTCCAACCAAATTACTTACCTACAGCTCTCCCTGCTGTGTTTTCCACTCTGCGGCCATATCCAGCACTGCACAGCCTTTGCAAAAGAAGTCCCAGTCATACGCAGCCCTTATCGGGCATGTGTGCAGCTCGGCCCATTCATACCTATGGCTGGAGATGTACTACTCTGGATGGCTGCGGGCTGCCATGAATGGACCAGGCATAGGAATAAATGGGCCGGGCAGCACATGGGTAGCAGTAGCTGAAGGTGGTGATGACTTCTCTCTCTCTCTCTACACTGTGTGGCGCCTGGCAGGGCTGCTCAGTAAAGAACTCGGGAGCATTGGGGGAACTAAAAGTGAAGTTAAAACTTTGTAGGGCATGGGAAATGTGGAAGTCGTATTTCATAGGCGCGTGTGCGTGTAAACTAAACCTATTCAAGTAAATATTTCACAAGATAAGAAAAAACAAAAGAACTTCTCTTTTCTTCACACTGAATGGAAGTAGGGAACCCGTATCAAACCTGTGTAAACACTCCGCTCTGTAATCTGGCTATTAACTCAATTCTCTGGCTCTAAATGACGAAGGGCAACGCTAGGACTGCTGGTTCTGTCACCGTGGAACGTCTGCCATCAGTCTACGGAACAAGAATCACTTCCTCTACAATGCTGGGATAGTTCATACTCACAAAATGAGCTTTTTTAATGCAGGGGGAGGGCAGGCAAGGTCACTGAACTTGCAGCACTGGGGAGCTGGGTCAAACTCCAAGAAGAAATATCTTTTCTGTGTACTCAGTAAAGCACAGCAAAATATGTTAGCTCTATACACCGATCAGCCATAGCATAATGACCACTGAGAGGTGAAGTGGATAACAATGATTATCTGGTACATGGGGCAGTAGATTAAATTGGGTGCAGGTTTGTCAGGAGGAAGCCCAACCTCCGTACAGGCACAGGGACGCACAACGCACATCACAACGGCAGCTGAGACCCCCCATGCATCACTGCACCAAATCAGTCAAGCAAAACAAATGGCAAAAGCACTCATCAATTTGTGTCTAAATCCCAATATTGGTTGTACATCATTACAAGTCCTGTGGCAGCTAGGACGGGTCACACAACCTGCTTCCCTATTTATAAGGGTCTGGCCCTCTAGCTTTTTCTATGTCCCGCAGCCTGCTCAGTCCGGGTACTGGCGAGATGCCCCGCCTCCAGCAGTGCCCGCACTGTACTGAGAGCCGCACATTCCTTGTGACAGTCATTGCTTGAGTCCGTGAGAGGCAGCCCCAAAGCCTCCGTGCCACTTCAATGTCGGCCCAGCCTGCACTGCATCAGAGGGGCCCGGGGACCACCAACATTTTCTCGCGGACCACCAGTTGGCGACCGCTGCACCAGACTATGTCCAAAGCCTTTCTCCAAAATGAATTTTCAAAATGAAGCTCCAGATAATAAGAGTAGGGAAGAGTTAATTCAATCTGTATTCTCTCACTTCCTGTTTCAGTGGCATACCAGGAAGTGAGGAGAAATATTACCAACGTCAATAACCCCCCTTCTTCCCTTAAGCACAGTTATCATCTACTGTCTGTTACAAATGACTGGAGCTCCATCCACACCTCTGGGGCCACACACTGCCCTACTGCCCTATCTGTAAATGCAGGTATGTAGCTTGCTGTGACATCATCTGCCCCGCCTCCATGTCTCAAACCAATGAGCATTTCTGCAAGGTAGTAGCTCCTCCCTCTTATAAGGGCACACCCATGCAGAGCATGAAACCTATACAACGCAGACAATCAACATGAAAGTCATGACATTATGGCTTGGAAAGTCCTTTAAAGTTGTACCCAGTGGACATTTTGTTTTATTCCCATACACTAATAAAATGTATATAGCAGTCTAGGGCAGACTTACACTTTAATTTTCATAGAATGCATAATGATCTGCAAAATGCCTAATCCTTTAAGATAAGATTTTTAACCACGCAGCTACAAAGAGCGAGATTGCGCCATAATTAGTTCCTGTTATGTGTAATATTGGTGTCTGCAAGATCTTTGATAACGTAGGTCTGTACCGCTAGTTATATTGCTTCTGTACAGAAGATGCCTTTGCATTGCTCTTGCTCTTACTTTTGCAGCAATATTCCTGTAAATGCTCATATACAACTGCTTGTATTTTTTGGAACTTTGAGCGTTCAGGACTCTTAAAAATTAGGGCTGGTAATGATTAAAAATTTAGTGTTCGATTAATCGAAAATTTTTTAATCGATTAATTATAAACGCACATACAGATCCAACTACATTGGCCTATACACATACAGAACAGCAATGAAGTAATAAAATGAACTAGGATCACAGTAATCCAGCACGTTATTAATCTCACGTGCCCCACTCAATATGGCCGCCGCTTGAGTGGGGCAACTCAGAATAATAACGTGCTGGATTAGTGTGATCCTAGTTCATTTTATTACTTCATTGCTGTGCTGTATGTGTATAGGCAAATGCCTTGGCTGGCGCTCATGCACAAAGTTTCTTGGGCAAACTCACCGGCCCAAGTGGCTCTGTCGGCTAACGAAGGGGGGGAGGAGTCCGGTGACATCACGGACATCGACGTCACCGGACTCCTCCCCCCTTTTCCCTCTGTTAGCCAACAGAGCCACTTGGGGAAGGGGGGTGGAGTCTGGTGACGTCGATGTCCGTGACGTCGCCGACGGGACTCCTGGAAGCCGGCGGAGAGGTGAGTGTTTACATTAGTGATCAAAATAATTTTAATCGATCAAAAAGTTTAAAGATTAATCGAGAAATTAATCTTTAATTTCCACAGCCCAAATATATATATATACACATATATATATACTGTATATTAGGGATGTACCGATACCGTTTTTTCGGTATCGAGTACGAGAACCAATATTTTTTTATTGGTAGTCGCCAATAACGAGTACCGATGCCGGCATCCCAAGGTAGCATGGGCCTGACTATGACTTCCTTATTGCCTGGGAAGCCAGTGTTCTATCGAAAGCACATCGGGTTCCCACTCCCTCGCAACACTGCAGGGCAGCCTGGCTTCCTGACCAATCAGGAAGCCGGGCGGCAGGTCATGACCTGCCACCTGGCTTCCTGATTGCTGAGGAAGCCAGGCTGCCTCGCAGTGTCGCTAGGCAGCGTGAAGCCGGAATGCTTTAGATAGAACACTGGCTTCCCAGGCAATCAGGAAGCCCTCGTTCACACCTGAACGTTTTGTAGCGCGTTCTACGCTCGACGAACACTCTACAAAACGCTCAAAAATATAAATCCCATTGTATTCAATTGTCTCGTTCCCACCTTGGCGTATTTCCGCCCGTCCCTAACGCGCTACAAAACGGCCCACGCCTGAAAAGGTACAGGTACTACTTTGGGCCGTTTTGTTGCGCGTTTCCATTGGGATACAGCCAAGTAGCGTTCGGAAAAGCACGGATACAGGTATCTGTACTCGGTATTGGCGACTACGCAATTTTTCCAATACGGGCGCTCTTCCCCATTGTTCCCAGCTATCCCTGTGAACTACAGAACCCCTCTCGCCTGTGTTATGGAGAAGATGAGATGGGGAGGTTTTTCTGCAGTCCTAGCCCACTTCCTGTCCTAGGGTGACTACGCTGCTTCAGTATGGCCGTGGATGTTGTCACTCAATGACTATAAGAATGCTACTGCCAGGATCACCAGGTGAAAACAGAGGAAAAGGTCCAATAAAAGAAACATTTTACAGCCACGACATCTACGAAGTGATAAGCCTCATGACATTACATATCTGTTGTTGAGATTTAGATATGATTAGCACTCAGTATTCGCATGCTTGCCAAAGCCTAATCCTAATATTTCTTATTGAGTACCACTGCGAGAAAAGGTGAGGCTACTGGAAGTGACTGGAGACCTGGGAATTCCCATTTAGATAAAACTGCCCGTATTTGATACTTCCTACAGCAATCTGTGGAAGGTCATTATGAAACAATTGAGATAAGACGAGATTCAACCTGACATAACCCTGTGTGTGGGATATGATAGGGAGCGTAATCTATGGAGGGCATCCCTCATTGTAAAGGTATACAATTCTCCGCTCAATGGAAGAGGCATTTATTATGATTTATGTGTTATTGTATGATTAATGTAATCTTTTTCTTGTGTCCTTTTCATATGTTCACCATGCTAATCTTAACTGCTCAGCTCAAAAAAAAGGTTCTACTGATAGAGCTAATTAAAGGAGAACTATGAGGTGAGTGATTCTCACTCATCCTCATAGTTAGAACCGACGTGTGACAATGAAACTATCACAGCTCGGCTCAATAGATCGGGAAGTGAGCGAACACATACCGTCGCTCGCTCACTTCTCGATCATCTCCTTGCAGAGAGTGGTAACTGTCACGGTTCCCTGCAGGGATTGCCCCCCCCCTCCGATCCTCCAGCACTGACGGGGAGGGGATGGGTACAGCTGGCTCTGCCTCTAGATAGGTGGAGCCAAGGCCGGCCTTAGGCCTTTAGGCGCCCTGTGCGAGAAAGCTTTACAGCGCCCCTCAGTGGCCACACCCTTTAGTGGTGAGGGGGAGAGAAGCCGCCCACAGGACGAGCTGTGACGGCCGCACGGCGCCCTTGTTGCCATGGCGCCCTGTGCGGCCGCACGGCTCGCACACCCCTAAGGCCGGCCCGGGGTGGAGCCAGCTGTCACTCAGCCAGCTGAGTGGATCTCGACAGTATTGTCGGGATCCGTCCCACTGCGGCGGTCTCAGTATACCGGTAGCAGTAGCTCGCGATATACTAAGCTTTGGGTCATGGGAGGACGCTAGTAAATGTCCTTCCATGACCAAAAG